TTAAAAAAATGTTTATTTTTTACTTGTAGTTGGACACAATATCTTTATTTTATTTATTTGTTTTTATGTGGTACTGAGGATTAAACTTGGACCTCGAATGTGCTAGGCGGGTGCTCTACCACTGAGCCACAACCCTACCCCCCATTCTCTAATATTTTAAGGATATAGTAWCATAATGACTATCTTTGTTTAAGAATAGTGGTTATTAGAAAAATATTAAAAATAATACAAAGACTTCTAAGTCATGAATGGATAGGGTGAARAGAATGGTTATAATTATTATAATGATTATTTTGGTGACCAGCATTTCACAGTAATTATATAATAAAAATGCTTTCAACCACTTTCAATATTARTTATTTAGTCATTAGATCACATTACATTCTGCCTTCTAGGGTACATGAGTATTTGAACAATCTTGGCTTGTTATTGCCATCAGTTTTAGGTTTGTTTCTTTTAATGATTTTGTTTCTGGTTCTGAATCACAATATCCTTCTTTGTATGCCTAGATATTTTTGTTTGGATGCTGAATATTGTGAATTTTAAWTTGTTCTTATAAATTTGGWAATATTATTTTAATGCATGTCAGCCTTTTTTCTCCTTGACACTTAAATTATTTGTGAACCAGTGAAGTCCTTTGAAATCTTGTTTTAAAAATTTCTTTGGAAAAATCTAGGTTTTTCTTTGCTCCAAGGATGATTTATTCTCACTACTCTCTAATGGCCTACAATTTACTATTTAAAAGATTTTTCCACTCTGGCTGGTAGGAACACAAACTATTTCCATAGCAATGTGAACAGTGGATATTGTTTTGTTTATTGATTTCTTGTGGATATGTTTAATCCTTCTGGTAATTTCTTTTCATGCATGCTTAGTTCTATATTCAGTCATWCTCTGGAGCAACCCTCTATCTCCAGAGTTTCTTTTCTATGCAATTATCTCATCTCTGATCCTCTTCCCTAAAGATTCAAGTCACTATAGCCTACCAAAACTCTGATCTTTGTCTGTATTCTGATTCAAGAAACTACCAGCCTGTTTGCATGCTCTACCCTCTGCTGGAGCCTGGAAACTGCATTCAGGATGCAAGATGGGGCACCTTGTTTATTTCCCTATCTCAAGGATCACAATCTTTCACTGCCTGTTATGCAGTATCTGTAAAGAGTTGTCGTGTGTATGTATGTGTGTGTGTGTGTGTGTGTGTGTGTGTGATTTTTCTAGTTGGTTAAGTTAAAAATATAAAATATAATCTCTATTATTCTATCATGGTGAAAATCAGAAGTATTAATCCCTTTGTTTTTAATTTTTTAGGGGTTCCTGGGAATTGAACCCAGAGGTATTTTACCACTGAGCTATATCCCTAGTACTTTTTTATTTTTTACCTTTGAGACAGTCTTGCCAAGTTGCTGAGGCTGGCCTTGAACTCGGAATCCTTCTGCCTGAACCTCCGAAGTCCCGGGATTACAGGTGTGCACACTGAGCTCAGTCCTTTGTTTTTAGAATGTATCATTTATGGCTGTAGCTCAGTTGTAAAGTGCTTGCTTAGCACTTAGTCCTGGGTTCAATYCCCAGTACAGTGAGGGGGAATTTCTAGAATGTATTATTTATAAAATTTCTTGTGAATCATTTTCTTACAAACCAAAATATGAATTACTTTGGAATGGAGATCATGCCCTATTTATCTTTGTATCATAAGCACCTCTATAGATTCTTATATAGAGTCTTGAAAAGGTTAGAGATCCCTATTTAGTGTTTCTTATCTCATGCACTAATATGMCTGCTTTCAAGTTTATTGTACATTAGCCTTACAACACAGAAATTATCATGAAATTTATTTTATAGTTATATAAGGAAGTTAGATACAGAGACATTAAGTACCTTGCCCACGATCATAATTCAGTAAGTATACTCAACACATCTTTTATGAATAAATACTTGACTGACCAATGACTTCCAAGGACAACAGGTCATGTATAAAATGGTGATTAAACCATACAACTAGGGCTGGAATGTRGCCGAGAGGTAGAATGCTGGCCTAGCATACACAAAGCCCTGGGTTCATGCCCCAGAACTGCAACAACAACAACAAAAATATAATTAAAATAAAGCTCCCTCCACCAAAGGGAAAACCAGACATACTTAGATCACAAAAGATTTAAGTGACTGATCTAAAAATCTGGCCTTTTGTACACTGTTAAGAACTCTTTGGTAAATCTTTATTTCACCACCAGGTGCCTAAGTCTCATTAAATTTAGAATACTTTGGCTGCAATCTCTAGTACTCCAGCAAAGTACTTTTCCACAGAGAGAAGCAAACTCAGTTTTGTAAATAAATAAATATATTTATTTTATACCAATAAATTAAAATCTAAGTAAGTACCTCTAATACAAAAAATCATAATTAAAATAATCATCATTGTATAATAATACTGTGTTATATGATTTWAAAAAAATCAGAAATCAAGTACATTTCAAGACATTATTTAATCAAGGGTGTCCCTGAATCTGAGCAATGATGTAGGGTTCTTGGTATCTGGTGCCTTGCTTAGACCTTATGCCATAGTTCTCAAACTATCTCCTGCTCTAAGGTCATCGGCAAGGCATATTGAAACATGTACTGCTGCGGCTCCCCTCCAGTGTCTTAATTGGAGGATGTCTGGGGTGAGCTTGAGAGTTTTGATTTCTGACATGCTCCTATGTGATCTTCAAGCTGCCAGTCTAGGAATTAGAATTGGAGAACCATTGTTTGTTGTACAAATCAACAAAGTCATCTGGTTTGTGCTCTGTTTCCAATGTTTTATGCTTAAGAAAGTATAAGTGAAACTTTTTAACCTCACATTTGTTATGAAAGGAAGTCATCAAAGGAAGAACAAGGACACTGTGGGTAATTTACGTATGGTTTTACTTCAGGATACATCATCAGTCTCTATTGCTTGTGTGTGGTTGTGCTTGATGCTCAGTGCTTAGCCTTATGGGTCTGGTATAGTCATCTGRCTGTTTGGGTTTTCAGTCTGGTCAGGGTGTTGATAATCTTGGTCCCTGTGTGCTGCTTGCCCTGAGGTGACTTCTGCTCTGAGTGACTGCCTGTTTTCACTCAAGAGTTTGTTTGCTTCACTCTGGCCACAGCAATGGTTCTGTGTCCTCCTTGCATAGAATCTTTTTGTTCSAGCTATCCACATTTACTCATCTCCTTTAAATCTGTATTCTGAGATTACCTCAGAGAGCGCTTTCTTAACCACCCTATTTAAAATTGAAACTCATCCTCAAAAACTCCATATTCCCCCTTTGTGCTTTTCATATAATTCCTCCTTACATTTTACTTGTATCTTTCCCTTTACTATAATTTAAACTCATTGAGAGAAGGATTTTTTCTATTCTGTTTAATGGTACATAGTAGGCACTCAGGCAATATTTGGCAAATGAATAAATAATTTCCTTTGTGTACACTGGTGCATCATATCACTCAGTGATGGATATGTTTATTTGTTTGACTCTRTACACATTATTCTAGTTATTTTTTGGTAATTTTCTACAGGAAGTCAGATACTAAGTCTCTAAGGTCTTTTTTCTTTTTCTGTGCCAAGGATGGAAGCCAGGGACACTTAACCACCGAGCCATATTCCCACTCCTTTTTATTATTTATTTTKGGTCTTGCTAAGATGCTGAGGCTGGCTTTGAATTTGTGATCCTCTTGTTTTAGCCTTCTGAGTTGCTGGGAAGGTATGCACCACTGGGCCTGGGTCTAAAGTCTTTTCGAGATTCACTTTGGACCTTCTTTAGACCATTTATCGAAAACAACTATGACAATGTGGACCTTGTTACTTGACATGGTTCCACTTCTGGATGCATCTGTTCCAATTTACCATTCTATACCATGAACTTCTGCCAACAGCACTCCTTTCACAAGTACTCTAGGTGTCTTCTTCACCTTTGACTACCCCAGGGAGGCCATCATATGGGTCATTCCCTGCTCTCATAGAGCCTTAGCTGAGCCCCACTACCAGACAACTTTAACCAACTTTTATACAAAGCAAACACATTTCCTAYTGAAAAATGATGTTTGGTTTAACCTGTGCTTCCTTAATATTGCAATACTGCATGTATTCTCAGAGAGTCTTCTCAAAATAGTCTACACTTATATTCTCAATTTATTTTTATCTSTACACTTACTTCATTTTGGACTGTTCTCACAAAATTATATTAGATTTTATTTTTGCTGAAGTTGTCCAGATTCTGTTGCCATTAAATGCAACAGATACTTATAATATGGTAACACAYAGTCCTTGAACCATTGATTTTCCCCTTGTCTTTCATCCTATTTCATGGCATCATACTGTCTTGGTTTTTCTTCTCTTTGGTCACCCATGTTTAAATTAATTTTAATATTGTCTTTTTTAATATCTTCCTTGGCTATTCACGAACCTCCAGTTTGATATGTTCACCTTTAATCTACCTCTCTTATGTTCCTGTCTTCATCAAATATCTCTGCCTTTCACTAAGTGTAGCCAGAGACTTAGATCGTCATGGGTCACTTCTTTTTTTTAACTTCACTTCTCACATATTTACTTGATAATGCAAATAGAGGTTAAAATTAAGTTTCCTAAAATATTTAAGAGTGCCTAATAAGTTAAAATTCTCTAACATTACGTGCCTCACTACAGAGAGTGATATAGTAATATTATTTCATCAGGAGATGGAGACATTGAGGCTTGGATAAGTTGCGACATGGTCAAAGTCCCTGAAGATTAAATGGACTTAGCCAGGATTAGAACTGGAGACCTGTGAATCCTCGTTGGGTACCTTCCATGATTTTAAGCTATGAATATACAAGACAATACGTGGATTGATTCCCTTTTACCAAGACATGAGCAGTTTTCTTTTGGTTTGGTATGTTATGGCTTATTCTGTTGGCAGAGTCTCAGTTTTCTGGCATATTAACGTACCTCTATGTTCATGCAGAATGAATGTGTTGAAGATAAGAAATATCATGTGATGCATTCAACACAATGTCAAGTTTTCCTTAATGTCAAGGACGCAATTCTGTTCATTGTCTCTCTCAACACTTCCTTTACCTTCTCATTCCTTAAGCTGTAAATAAAAGGGTTCAGAAGAGGGGTCACTACTGTGATGAGGACAGCCGCTACCTTGTCAAAATCCAGTGAGTATTTTTGATTTGGTCTCACATACACAAAGATGTTGCTCCCGTAAGCAATGGAGACGACAGTGATGTGAGCGGCACAGGTAGAAAAAGCTTTTTGACGGCCTCGGGCTGAGGGCATTCGCAGGATGGTAGAAATGATGTAGCTGTAGGACCCAGTAGTGAATGCAAGGGAGCTCAGGATGACCAGGGCAGAGAGAAGAAAGTTTATCTTCTCAATTAGGCGAGTATCTATACAGGCCACCTGTAGAAGAGGGGCAATGTCACAGAAAAAGTGATTAATTTCTTTCCTACAGTAAGGTAGCCTTGTCACTACGATGGTTGGTGCCATCACAGACAAGAAGGCTCCCACCCAGCATCCCAGAACCAGTAGGAAGCTGGTCCTGCTGTTCATGATGAGGGTGTAACGCAGGGGGTTACAGATGGCCACGTAGCGGTCAAAGGACATGACAGCCAAGAGGATAAACTCCACTGTCCCCAGAAAGAAGTAGAAATATGTTTGGGTGATGCAGCCTGCAAAGGATATGGTCTTCGTTTCTCCTAGGAGGCAGGCTAGCAACTTTGGGGTAACAACAGTGGTGTATAAAATATCCAGAAAGGACAAATTACTGAGGAAAAAGTACATTGGGGTTTGCAGGTGAGAATCAGTCCATATTAGAGAGATKATGGTAAGGTTTCCTGTTGCTGTTAATGTGTAAGTTAGCAAGAGAAYCACAAAGAGGAGTATTCGAATCTCCAGGAGAGCTGGGAAGGCCATCAGGGTGAATTCCGTCACTGTGCTCCCGTTTCCCATAGCCATGGTCCCAAGGTGGGTAGGTTGTTCCCTGAAAAGAGAAGAAAAAGGGAATCAGCTTAGGTAATTTGATAAACATCTCTGCACAACATATTATTGAGCACATTTCATTTTAGGAGCTGAGTCATAGCACATAGTCCTTTACTGAAAATCATTTTTGTGTGGCTTTAGGAATGTCAAAATACTATTTAAATATATATTTTTTCCCACATAATTAAGGGATAAGATGGTAAAAAAAATCTCTCAACTTTCTTGTAGTTATAAAATTGTCTCCTACTAAATGGAATTTCTATTCTTTTCTTCTGTTCCGGTTTTGTTTTCCTAGCTAAAAATGTATCAAAATACTGCCTCAAATTTTAGCTGGAACTCTTTCTATTATTCCAGAATTTACAGTTACTGAGAGGGGACTCCTTTTTGATATTTTCAAGTCTTATCCATTTTTGTGACCTGTCTTGAATAAGAGGTAAAGACTCATTTGTGTTTGCTCTATTTGATGGTCTCCAGATTCAGGTTTTATATCCTTTCTCTAGTGCATATAGAACTATGAAAATAGTGCAGAGATGTTTATAGTGAACAATGGCTTATGGTTCCTATTGATCACTGGAGATGTCACCTTGGAAGGGAATAATGAATATCTTGTCTCTAGATAAGCTGTGTGAAACATGTTATATGCATCTGCTTGATTACTTGAGAAGATATTATATAGTATGATAAAATCAGAGAGACATAAATTATACCCAAGAAGGTAAAGTAGAGCTAATTAAGCTTACTTGATTTGTTTGATCAGGTGCAATCTTAGAACTGTGCCTTAAGACCATCCAGTTGTTCTTTATCATCTAAGAAATTATTTTTTAGCAGATTTCCTCATTTCAGGTTAAAAGTATATGCATTGTAACTCTGTCCTCGGTGCTTTCTTTGTCTACATTTCACTGAGCTCCTCCTTAATAGATGACTCACAAGCAGCTGCTCCCCACTTTGCTACTAATTGAGGGCTTGCCATTTTCCTTTTCCCACTTCTCCAGGATAAAAATTTGGCTTCCTGGTTTATTTTTTTTTTATTTTAAAAGGTTTTGTCCTATTACAAGAAAGACGCCTTCAGTTCAGAAAATTATAACATGAAGTCAAACTTCTGGAGATACAGTGACAAATTTTTTTGTTTGTTTGTTTTTGGTACCAGGGATTGAGCCCAGAGACACTTAACCACTGAGTCACATCCCCATCCCTTTTTTATGTTTTGTTTTGAGGCAGGGTCTTACTAAACTGCTTACAGTCTTGCTAAGTTTGAACTTGCAATCCTCCTGCCTCCTGAGCTGCTGGGATTATAGGTGTGCGCCATCACTTGGCTCCAGTGACAACATTTTGGTGCATAATATCTCCAGGTTATTTTGAAGGTCAAATTACATAACAATGTATCCCAAATTAGTCATACTGGCATCCCATTTTATAACTAACTCCTCCTTTCTTCCTCTTTTCTGTGTCTTATTTTTAAAAAATTTTATAATATATCATCTTTCCATGTCAATTAYTAGAAGCCTGAACAATCATTTTTAAGGGCTCATATAGTGTGATATATTTAGCTTGTTGCTTAGTGTTTGGAATTTAGATGGTCTATATTTGTTGCTTATATAGTGATCAAATAATTATTCTTTCACACAAATCTTTGTGCAGTTGTTTCATTATTAATACAGGTTCCACAAACAAGTGATAGACAATCATTTTTGAGAATAGAATGTTTGATCTCACTATCTCTGTCTCAACTTAAAACCCTAAGAAGGACTTGGCTTTAGAATTTAGCTTGCCAGAGTGATTGGTTATGCTAAAGTCTCTATGGGTCTGCCATAGGTTCTTTGTCTGAGATGATAGTTCTAGATCACAGTTAGGCCCTGATAGCTGATGATGCAATAGAATTAAAGTACTTTGTTCTTTTTAAAAAATTGTCTTTAAGTTTGAAACTTCAGTTTTCTCATCTGAAAAATTAAAAAGATGGACTATACATTTATAAGGTCCAATCATTGACCTAGGGCCCTGTTATCAGTTGCTTTTCAACTCCTAATCACCTCAAAGATTCTGTTTTTATTCTCTAGTAAACAAACTTTTAAATGATTTTCTAAATCACTGCACAGATGTTGTTAATCATGGATGCACATGTCAATGTAGCAGCATAGGCAATCATGTGTGAAATTTCTTTATGASGCATTCTGTTATTTGTTTTTTGTGGATCCTGTATTATTTTTTTTCCATGAAGTTGTTCCAAAAGACAAAATTTATATTTTAATATTTAAGTGTTGATTAGATTAATGAGAGCTTAAAAATTGTTTTCAATCCCAGTTTTTACCCCATCTCTGTTATATTTAATTGAATCTTCACTTTGGAGTTGCAGCTTCTTTATCTGAGAAATGAAGATAATTATGACTTTCAAATGAGCTTCTATAAGGTTTAAATTAAATTGCATGTGTGACAGTTCCTAAGTGATTCTTGTTAAAAATACAATCCCATTCAGAAAAGATTGAAATGCACTTAAAGGAGATGAACAATTAAAGTTCACTGTTTCTTATCTGAATAAGTAACAATAAATGATGAAAAGTTTAATTTGTAGCTGAGAAATATTTTAATGTATAAGTGGCCTGAATCCCTCCAGATTGGTATCTGATACATTAAGCATGTTGACAGATTGAAGAGACAAAATATAGAAAAGTAAATTTAAACAAAAGTAATATGATAAAATAAACTATGTATGAAAAAGAATACTTACAGTTCACTGATTACATAAGATAATGTAAAATTCTCTTAACATGCTTTATATATGCAGATACAGTGAGAGGTTTGAACTTTATTACATGTGCAAAATTGATTCCAAACATTGTACTTGCATTTTTTTTGCTAATTCTATTTCTATTTCTAACCCATAGAAATATCTGTCAAAGATGAAATGAACCATACTAGGTTTCTCATCTAGCTAACTCCAATATTGATCCTTCTGGTCAGCAGCCTCACACACAACCATCCAGCTGCTGCTTGGATGACATCAGTGACTCATAATTTACTATCTTGCCTCAGCACTGGCTGAGTTTAAAGTTCCTATCTGAAATGGGAAGATGTCTTTTTTGGGGAGGGGTTACTGGGGACTGAGGTCAGGGACACTCAACCACTGAGCCACGTCCCCAGCCCTATTTTGTATTTCATTTAGAGACAGGGTCTTACTGAATTGCTTAGTGCCTTGCTCTTGCTAAGGCTGGCTTTGAACCCATGACCCACCTTGTCTCAGCCTCCAGAGACACTGGGATTATAGGCGTGTGCCACTGTACCTGGTGGGAATATGTCTTTCATATTTCCAAAAATATGTTTACGTATATACAGGACTTGCAGACAAAATGTTAACCTTTTCTGCCATGACAATCCTTCAAACATCACTACTATTTAGATATTCTTAGTCCATAACATCCCAGTGAGTTAGCACAACATAAATTCTACATTCTATTTTTGTACAGAATGTTATAGTTACAGAAAGTGAATTGACAAGTTATAGAAATAAATTAGTCATAATAGAATTCAAGTAGATTTTCCATGATTTTCATTTAAAATTTTTAGAAAATTAATTATTCTCAACCTTCAAGCATTTTTCTCCATCTAGGCAGGCTACATATTTCCCTTTTGTTAATTTTCAATCATTTTAGTTATTTAAAAATGAATTAACTAGGTTTTTTGGACATAGAATTTCATATGAGTAACTCAACCAGATATGGCTAATGTGGAATTCTTAGGTGTACTCACCAAGTGATGGCTCAGAGAAGGGAATTCAGAAATTATTTTGGAATCTCATTCTGCTTTCATGGTTATTACAGTATCTTTCTATGGAAGTTTTTACTAAATGCTCTTGAGTACTCTAAATGTCTCACCAGATTAACATGACTTGGATATTTTAAAGAGTTTACCTCTTTCCTTTTCTCTGGTATGCTTCCCTTCTTATATTATTTTTTCCCCCAATTGGATGAACCATGTTTTTTCTGGGCTTATTTGCCCTAGAGATTTAGATGAAAACAGCTCTTGGGACTCTGGATCAAAAGAAGTTAATTAATAATATTGTTATAAAAGAATGTTGGTTCTGAGCCACCTAATCCCAATTACAAAGTTTTGGAAGGTGCCAAATAGATCCGTCCAGGGCCTCCTTGGGGATTTACTCATATTTTGCTTTATTTATTTAGAGGAAAAAGAGTACTTGAAAGTTTCTACAAGGAAGCTAAAACTATGGAATCCTTTTTATCCTTCTTAAGTTATTGATAAAATATAGAATGTTCTCTAACAATGAATATTCTGGTTTCAGATACCATTTATTACCATAGAGGTTTTTAAAAAAATTTCAGATAAAAATATGGTCATAGTAAATTCCATTGTTGTTGCTACTATTATTATTGTCCTTGTTCTGTCCATGACCAAAGAGCTCTGTCCTGAACTCAGCTGGGAGTGACTGTTTTTCCATATTCTAGACTCATCTCCCACAGATGTGAGCTTGCCATAAACTTCTACTATATTCTCCAGCATATTTTTTTTCAAATGAACATTCCTTTAGACATTTTCTTTTTAATCTAAAACTCTTTACCATTTTATCTTAATAGAAATCTGACTTTCACTTGAGGATAGTGGTTTCACTGAAGCTCTTTCAAGTGAAAATGTGCACTTTATTTTTGTGTACTAGAGAGAGAGGGGGATGTGACTGGAGGGATATTATAATAACAATATAATTTTAKATTAATATCATATATTATTTATTATGTAATATTGTATATTATGTAAACATATAATGTATTATAATTTCACAATAAGATGCTAATAATCATAATTTTGTTGTGATTTTATTCCCAATTCTATTTCCAATCAGAAAATAATTTCCATTTTTTTTATTAAACTCTTGCAAGGTTCATAGAATATACTTTCATAATTTTTCTTTGGTACWGTCAGTCATTGACTGTGTTTCAGGAAAGAAGTTAACAAAGTTCCAAGTA